TGTGGGTGTTCAAGCATCTATCTCACCCTTCGCTGCCTGCAGACAGTTGTGGGAAGGTGATTGCTCTCCAAAGTAAAAGTTTGTTTGTTTTGAATTTCGCGCAAAGCTACACGAGGAATATCTGCGGTTAGCCGTCCCTAGTTTAGCAGTGTAAGACTAGAGGGAAAGCAGCTGGTCATCACCACCCACCGCCAACTCTTGGACTACTCTTTACCAACGAATAGTGGGATTGACCGTCACATATAACGCCCCCACGGCTGAAAGGGCGAGCATGTTTGGTGGGACGGGGGATTCGAACCCGCGATCATCAGATTGCGAGTCGAGCGCCCCAACCACCTGGCCATGCCGGGCCTCCAAAGTAAATGAAATAGAAAAAAAGAAAAGAAAAGTGAAATATGGCACTACCACTTGGTCGTAAGTAAGATAAACTGAGGCCTAGAAAAGTGACAACGGGTCTTTTTTAAGCCCGTGCCTGGGGTTACAGCTCCAATAGCCACTGACTTAATCCGCTCGTGACTACAACCTTAGGAACTTCCTTTCCATCATATAACTACATTTTGATGCCTTGATTGAAGATTCTGGCATGACACATATGTTTTATCAGTTATTCACTATTTTAACAAGCACAGTTTATTCAAATATAAATCAAAATTTGGTTTTAAAATCAATGATGAATTATTATATTATAGAAAGTAAGTTTCAGCGTTGGACCCTCTCATGTTTTCTGAATTTTGTAAAGTCAGTTTAAATTGCTGGGGAATACTCGTTTACTTTAATAAAGATATGCTTTGAATCTGATAGTTAACTTTTCAGAGGTAAAAAAAAAGCCAGGGCTTGTAAATTTTTTCTTCACAAAAGTATACAATTTATATTGTTCTCCTTGAATGTACGACTTCCAAGCGTTTTCTTAAGCTTCTCTTCACTAGACATACAAGCAAACATGGTATAGGTTTCTTCTTACTATGTTATATATTTTTTTTATCTTAGATTGAAATTTCCACAATTTATTTCTGCTACTCACTTTATCAGAAAAAAATGTTTGTAATGCCATTTCAAATATTTTTGAAATATTGTAAAGACTCTTAAAACATATAAAAATTACTACCATTTTGAACTTTTCATATAATGTAAATCAAAGCAAATAATATCTCACTTCCTTCAACCTAAAGTTTCTAACGAAAATGTTAGGAGTATTAGATAGTACCAATAATAAATGTTAAGAATAGTAGGTAGTACCAACAAGAAACGTAGGAGTATTAGATAGTACCAATAATAAATGTTAAGAATAGTAGGTAGTACCAACAAGAAACGTAGGAGTAGTAACTAATACCAAAAACAAATGTTAGGAGCAGTACGTAGTACCAACAACTAATGTTAGTAGCAGTAGGTAGTACCAACAACAAATGTTAGTAGTAGTAGTTAATACCTACAACAAATGTTAGTAATAGTAGGTAGTACCAATAACAAATGTTAGTAGTAGTAGTTAATACCTACAACAAATGTTAGTAGTGGTAGGTAATACCAACAACAAATGTTAGTAGTAGTAGGTAGTACTAACAACAAATGTTAGTAGTAGTAGGTAATACCTACAACAAATGTTAGTAGTAGTAGGTAATACCAACAACAAATGTTAGTAGTGGTAGGTAGTACCAACAACAAATGTTAGTAGTAGTAGGTAATACCTACAACAAATGTTAGTAGTAGTAGGTAATACCAACAACAAATGTTAGTAGTGGTAGGTAATACCAACAACAAATGTTAGTATTAGTAGGTAGTACCAACAACAAATGTTAGTAGTAGTAGGTAATACCTACAACAAATGTTAGAAATAGTAGGTAGTACCAACAACAAATGTTAGTAGTAGTAGGTAATACCTACTACAAATGTTAGAAATAGTAGGTTGTACCAACAACAAATGTTAGTAGTAGTAGGTAGTACTAACCACAAATGTTAGTAGTAGTAAGTAATACCAACAACAAATGTTAGTAGTAGTAGGTAATACCTACAACAAATGTTAGTAGTAGAAGGTAGTACCAACCACAAATGTTAGTAGTAGTAGGTAATACCAACAACAAATGTTAGTAGTAGTAGGTAATACCTACAACAAATGTTAGAAGTAGTAGGCAGTATCAACAACAAATGTTAGAAGCAGTAGGTAATACCAACAACAAATATTAGCAGTAGTAGGTAGTACCAACAACAAATGTTAAAAGTAGTAGGTAATACCAACAACAAATGTTAGAAGTAGTAGGCAGTATCAACAACAAATGTTAGCAGTAGTAGGTAGTACTAACAACAAATGTTAGAAGTAGTAGGTAATACCAACAACAAATGTTAGTAGTAGTAGGTAGTACCAACAAGAAATGTTAGAAGTAGTAGGTAATACCAACAACAAATGTTAGAAGTAGTAGGTAATACCAACAACAAATGTTAGAAGTAGTAGGTAATACCTACAACAAATGTTAGAGTAGTAGGTAGTACTAACAACAAATGTTAGAAGTAGTAGGTAATACCAACAACAAATGTTAGTAGTAGTAGGTAGTACTAACAACAAATGTTAGAAGTAGTAGGTAATACCAACAAGAAATGTTAGAAGTAGTAGGTAGTACCAACAACAAATGTTAGAAGTAGTAGGTAATACCAACAAGAAATGTTAGAAGTATTAGGTAATACCAACAAGGAATGTTAGAAGTACAACAAATTTAGGTTACATTTCATAATGCTGAGTTCAAATGTAAAAAAATATTCTCTTTGCGGAGAATGGAATATATCTTTGACATTACTGTACACAGATTATAGAATGGAGTCATATTTGGAGATTTTGTTTATTTTAAAAATGATATTGAAAAATAAACTGACATAGTTGAAATAAAAATAGGATGTACTATTGGAGAAAATTCACAAACATAAATTTTCTTGTTCATTCCTTGCTAAATGTGTTGATGTTTTCATAAGTTTTAAAATGATTGTTTCTCAAATATAGGAAAACGATTTTTAGCATGTGAATAAAATGTTTGTTGTTTTCTAAGATCTGAAGTTTCTACTATGCCAGTTTTTAGTACATGTTAGAACAACTGAAACTTTTACATGCGTACTTATGTGAGGGAGAAACTTTGACGATATTGTAATAGAAATTTCTGGATTACATCTGTCTTGTTTATATTTAATTCTAAAAAGTAATTCTTAATTCTTTTTTAAGGAAGAATACAAAGTCTTGATATGGCTAAGTTTTCTAAAATAAGAATTTGTGTTATTTATTTGTGGGGAGTTTGTTTAAATTAAGATGAAAAGAATATGAAAACTTGTTTTTATCTGAGCCTAACTAAACTGGCATGCATTACGACTGTTAAAAAAATGGAGAATTTAACTGAAAAAATAACATAGTTTAAGAATGTACTTTTTTCAATAAGCGTTTAACTACGCAAAAAGTATAAAAGAAGTTTCTAAATTCTGACTTCTCTGTCAGATGGATTTCCTGTCACTAAATAGGCAAGGATGGTGAGTGTTGATAACGTTCCAAACTGCAGTGCTCAGCTGCTCATTGGTATTAACTTTCGGTCGGAACAAACTATCATTAATATTCAATTCCGATATGAGCAAGCTACTTGCATAAATTAAAACTATAAATCAACCTGGTACTGATTAAAACTAATTAAATATACCTTTCTTGCGTTCTTACTTAAAAAGAAGAGATTACATCATTTCATCAGTTGAGCACCCTCGCTGTTAACGATATTTTCGGCCGTAAATCCAATAATATCTTACGAGGTTTGGCCAGCTTAGGAGACTTAGGTTAGTACTAAATCCACATACTAAGCTAACAATACAAAAAAGAATATCTCTTTAATAAAAGTAAAATAAATAAAAAACTAATCAAACTAGATATATTGAACATCCAATCCATACTGTTATTGAAAGTAGTTTTAAAGAAATAATAGAGTATACCTCACTTACGGGACATAGAAGTACTAGACGTTAGCTTCAAGAACTGCCATGATATTCAACGTTCGTTGAAGAACCTAGCATTGGTATGACTGTGCAAAAATAAAGCTTTACATAAATCTCCCTTAAAAAGTCTTCTGACCAAAAAAAAAACATTAAATGGCCTCAGCAATGAAACTTTAGAGGATCCCGACATCTGAAATAAATTGCTATAACACATGTTACTGTTTGAGTGTTTCGTTGTGGTGTTAAATAGTAAAATACCGATAGTAGAGCCAAAAACTAAGGTTTATAAAGATGCAGAGTAATAATAATAAATTAAAGGTTATCTGAGTTATTCTCCGATATGCTCTCGTCTGTTACTTTCTTTATTTCGTAAATAGTAACCTACAGATTATTTTCAAAATATACCAAGATTAACATGTGAAATATGATTTGAATGTACATGTATACCAAACGAACGCACCCATGATTATGTTGAGAGAGCCTGGTGAATTTCCATTAATATAAAAACCGAAAGAAATCACTGAAAAGGCTGTTTCACGAAGATGCAGAAGTGATACTAATAAAAGCAAAAAGGACTAACAGAAGATATTGATCCCGTCATTTTGACTATTTTTAAAACTAGACCCACACCACAAAGAAAAAATAAATAAAACTGGTAATTTGTGAAGTATAGACAATATCTAGGGTTTTTAAAGAATAACAAAGATATACAATTATACCGAAGAGTCTCTCAAAATACATAACAAAGGAAGGTGAGATAAATGGATAGTTCTGAAAGGTGAATCATTTGCGGACGAATAAACTTATCAAATAGATAAAAAAATATTTCTATGCACTAATCGTTGACGTCATACATTTAAAATTTTTTTTTTACAAAATAACTTACACTGTAAATCGAAACACAATTACAATGTCAAATATTACTATGGATTTATTCATTTTATCATTACGGAAATGTTTGCGAAGTAAAAGTTGATCTAATAAGAAAAAATAGCGTACAGGATGTTTTATTATATATTTTGTAACCGAACTATTACATTTCTTCCTCTGACGTATTGTGACTGAAGTGTATCAACTGTTCACACTAACTCTACGTCACTGGCACAGGTATTACATAATCGATCTTTGCAACGTACCGAGCCATATAAACCATGTCCAAGATGATAAGAAGTACAGTATTCCTGCAAGTTTTTGTTCCGATTACCAGGAAACAGAAAGTTTCTAAAGCTCTTAGTTCAGCGATTGTTCAAGTCTGCACAGAACATATGTATGTTCTCTGTAGTTGTGTAGTTTATTGAATCATCGAGGGTCAATGATGTTTCGCAGAGAAACGCCGCAAAATCCCCTAGACACGGCAATGGAGGGAGAAAATAAGCAGGAGAGTTTGTCAGTTAACCTTAAGCTGGAAGAACTGGTATCGGAAGAAGATTTGATTCACGCCAAGACTTTGTGGGAATACTTGCTTCTTCATCACGATTTCAAAAAGGTAGGTATCAAGACTAGAACAAAGCAGCTACTGTACTTTGCACTAGTAATTTTAATACAATATAACTGTCATGATGATAGCGATTCATTGTGTTATTATTACATCAGTCGTGATTAAAATATTTACTGAGTATTTTGGCCGAAGATACTGATTAGAGTAAGTTAATAGACCACGAAGCTGGTTTTTCTTTCAAAGCAATAACAATAATAAGGCTTAAGAGACATTAGCTAGGTTTTACATTCTAACATAACTGACTGCCTCCAGTTCGCGTCATGAAATACAGTCCTCCAAGAATATCTCGTAAAAATTTTAATTCAACCCTTTTTTTCAAAACATGTAACGAAAAAAAAGAAGAAATTATTCCAATAATAGCAACTAGAAAAACTAATTAGATTACCTACATCTTTACCCTGTTCGCTACCGGTGAGGTTCACGTATTGCATTGTACTGAGTAATTTTACAACAGTGTTAGGAACTGACGAATAATTGTTACACCACTTCTTTTTTTCTAAGATAAATATGAAACTCCGGTAATAATTATTGTGATTAATTGTAATACTGACGGACTTTTTGTTTATATTTTTTGTGACTTGTCTGGTATGAGGGCTACAGTAACTAACAAAATTACGGACCCAAAAAAACTTAGCATATAGATAGTTTAGAAAAATGAGCTTAAAAAGTCGATGGGCCTATCAAGAATCTAATAAGTGATGCTAGACAAAACGTTTTTTTTTTTTTTGCTATTTATTAACAGTGTATTCAAAATTAATACGTCATTTTAGAAAAATATTCATTCACTGAAATGTTCGAATATATTCTATTTAAAATATCAACTAATCATTTTCTTAAATAAATTTTGCATACAGTAAAAATGGACCATTTTTCACGTAGTACACTCTAGGGATAAAACTGTTATAATAATCACTCAGAGAATTTTACCATAACAAGTTCCAAATTATCTGCAAAACCATATATATTTATCATGTATTATTGAATAATTTAAATATTTAATTGTTTAATAATGTTATAACATTACAGTTAAGCTTCATGTTGCTTTTACACATCGGTTTGGAATCAAATCAAGCTTACAAATTTTTAAATGAAAAAAGTTTTATGTGTAGTTCATTAATGTAAACACATATTACACAGTAAAAAAGGAACTTCAAATATCATCTTATATTATGAGAACTTGTACAAAAACTGATTAGTGTAAGATTAAAAGGTATTTGTGACATAAATCAGCATAGTTAAATAGAGGTTTGTGATCAAACATTCAGACCACTCGCTTTTGAATTAGTACAATGATTCTTATACTACACCCTTTTTAACTAACGAGTCTGAAGTATTAGCTAAAAATAAATTTTATGCTATCAAAGTTGTCGAAATAGCGTTTTGTCATTTAATATTTATTTTCTTATCCATAGCTTTAAAAAATAAATGCATTCCGGATTACCTAAACATTACATGATATACATGCTAGATTATCACATACATAATGGATTATTACAGCGACAGCCATGCTTAGAGTTCATATTCTCAGGTATTTGAAGACCACATGCCTACATACTTGTCACTTTATGAAGTTTATTAGTGATATGTTTAGTATGATATTCATTCGTGCTTTATTGATTTATCGTACTTTTTCACTGTCTTGCACACACAAAATATGTAAAAATGATGCACTGATAATCGATCTTTATAATATTATACAAGGTTAAATAAAATAGTCTTTAAACATGCATTTTTGTCATGTTTAAAGCTCCTAAGAAAAATTATTTTGACTTGTCACCCAAACCACTTACAAACTTTGCTAACATTCTGCATACACGAAATCTATATATATTATAAAAGGTTTCTCGTATGAGCTCTCATTTTTTATTTATTAATTTACAAAAAGAAAACAAAAAATGGTGTATTGCAGAGTGACGTCATCTTGTTACTAGGCAACAATGACATTCGAACAGCTGAGTATGCTAGTCATCTTTATCTCAACGGTTACGGAGACTGGCTTGTCATTTCAGGAAAAGCAGGCAATATGACGAAAGGTAGGATTTTTAACAATTATCAATGTCAATTATAAATATATCTAAATAGCAGAACTCTTATGTTTTTAAAGAAAAATTTAATACTCTGAAAAAGGTGTTATTTTGATGTTATGAAGGCCATTCCCCAAAACAAGGCGTAGTTAATAATATTAATTTATATAAATAAACGTCAATATGTAGGTGTATCTGTCTGTTTTTTCCTTATACGTTTCCACATTTCTTGATCAATCAGTACCAAAATATTACACAGTGATACAGGATGACACGAGGAAGGTCATAAAGGGGTGGGGTGGGGGTTTGTACGTCCTTCTAATTTCATGTTGATAGAATTTTTGAAAACACTGTCTTTCTTTTCAGTATTGGTACCGTTAGGTATTTTTATTGCAGTTTTAATGTTTGTTATTTAAGACAAGTATAGAAGCACAATTTCCTCCTTTGTTACAAACGAATTTTTCTTTCACCCGTCCAGCTGTAATCTATTACAAATAAACGTCAATATATGTGTGTGTGTGTATTTGTTCCTTATACGTTTCCAAATTTATTGATCAATCAACGCCAAACTTGACACAGTCATACAGGATGGCATGAGGATGGTCATGAGGGGGTGTTGGACCCCCCATCTAATTGATACTGATAGAATTCTTGAAAACAGCATGTTTTTCTTTTCAATATTAGTGTTATTTCGTAATTTCATTGCACTTTTAATGTTCATTAGGTTAAGAAAAACAAACTAGAAGCACAATTTTCTATCCTTTGTTACAAGCGAGTTTTATTTCACCCGTCCAACCGTCCAGCTAGTAATAATTAATTATAGAAGAGTTAGAGTTGGTATAAAATCAAATTAGAGGTAGATTTCAATGCAAAATGGCTTCATAGGTTTCCTGTACATTATATTCGTCTATAAATAAAAAATATCAATTCTTATTATTGAATAAATTAGAAAAAAGATTTAATTACCATCATCGTCAGATATTTTTCTCAGTAAATATTTTTGCGTATTATTGTGTGATTTAATCTAAACAAATACGCAATAAGTTGCAGATAAAAGTAAAGATGTATATTTGTTTTGCAGTTTTATTGGAGTTATTATAAAACTTAAAAAAATGAAATGCTGACGGAACAACGAAAGTGTCTTAAAATCACGTCAAATTTAATATTTTTTTCGAGTTACCTCACTATATTTATTTGTCTCTGCAATGTTGTAAAAGGGCACTTTCTCTTCTACTTGTGTCAACTTTTCCATTTATTAAGTTTTTATCATTAAACGGATGTTGTTAAAGGACATTATCCTTTCGAAATTTGTCAACATTTCCGTTTATTAAGTTTCAAACAACTTTAAATAGACCCCTTATTGTTGTAAAAGGGCACATTCCTCTCGATATGCATCAACATTCCTTTAAGTTTTCAAACAACTTTAAACGGGTCCCTGCAATATTGTTATGAAGAATCCTAAGCCAAACAACAACGTAGTATACATTTATACTATTAAGAAATATAACTAAAAGCATTTCTATTTGACAATTGACAAATAGGAAAGTTATATATATATATATATTATATTTTAAATTCTGACAGGCTCGTTGGGTAGAGAAACAACTGAAAGTGAGTAGCAATCATCTTTTAAAGTAAAACTTTCTGTCATTGTTGATTTTTTAGCTTGCATGTTTAAATTATGCCTATTGAGTACCTTAGCCATCCCTACATATAGAGTCTATCGATTCTATGACAAATACACTATTGTTACGTCTCCGTTCGTTAGTTAATTTTCCGTAAAAATTCTTTCCGATGAAACTTTAGCGATACAAGTCCTTTCTTATATAAAACTGGTTTATTCTTTCTGAATACAACTTTGCAATACACTTAATTTCCACAGTCACGCTATAACAAACGCTATAATTCACAATGAACGTCTCACATGCTCAACAATACGTCTCTCTCTGTCCGCAGTTCAATTACCCATTGTTGCCGTCACGTCTTGACCGTCTTATATGTACAAGAATACCGAAATCTAGTAACCTCCCGAGGCTTCATGAACGTTCTAGAAGCGCGTGACGTGTTACTAGAATCACGTGACCTCCGCTGTCGTAACACTACGTTTCACCAGGTTGACATACAACAGTTTCAAAGAGAACAAACATGAGTTCAAATTTAAGCCGATGGAATCAGCTTGAGTGCAGTTTGACAAAAGGAACAGAGGATCTTCAAAAGAAAGAAGACCAAACGATTACGGTAACTCGCGCCACAACTGTAAGTGAATCACTGAGAATACTAGTGAGATAGAAATAGAGAAGACAGTTTGGTTTGTCAACTGAAATTCTAAAGTAATTGAATAGGCCTAAGTGGATATTTGACAAGAAGGAAAAACTACATATATAGTATTTATGATATGTCCATAATATCTATAGTATTGAAGAATTTATTGTACATACGTTAACTTGTTCTGAATATATATAATATTTTGAAAACAAGTGAAGTGCGTGCTGTTTATTCATCGTTGAATTTATCGCTAACAAGTCACAGGAAAGAAGATAAGAAAAATAATTTTATTCCGTCAAAGCGTGGTTCTAAAGTAATTTTTCTAGTTTGGTATCTTAGTGATGGTTTTTACCTTGTTTTGGGGATTTGTCATGATATAAAAGACTGTTTGGTTTAGATATTAGTGATTAATTTATTTTTGTTAGTGATTATTTTATTATTGTTTAGTTTTTATTATAATAAGAGTTAAAAGCAGACGATTGTAGGAAGTTTTGTTAATACTTCATTGACGTCGAGAATATAGAAGTCGGACAGACGATTAAGTGATAATGATATAAATAGCATGAGACGAGCGGGAACAGCAGACAGATAATAGCAAAAGAGAATAAAGTTGGTGTGAAGTTAACTACCGTAGAAGTGATAGGCCTAACGTTTATTATGTTAGAGTGAAACTAACATTTGACCAACTCACCAAATTGTTCATCTTTCTTCTTGTTTCAGTCGAGATAAATCTACAACTACTTTATCACTAATGTCAGTATAAACCTAAATCCACTCTATGTTTTTCTGGACAGTGGAAGATGTCAGTGAGTAGTTGTAATAACTAGTAGTAACTTAAAAAAATCATAATTCTAGTGTAAGCGATGTTATCATTACCCCTTGAAAGTAGCTTTCTTACAGAAATTTTATGTTCTTTGAAACAGCTTGGATTCAGGTTGAAGCAGGAATTACCAGCAAATAATAGATAAACATTAGATGACTGTAACATGTAGAATACTCAATGCTTTGTACACTATACAATCAGTGCCTTTAGGGACCCACCCCCTATATTATGTATGAAGTGAAGGAGTTAAAAAAAATCAATACACATAATATTAAATTTTATTATACACATTCATAGAATATACTAATTTTCAGTCAGGGGAAAAAAATCACAAACCAAGTAATTAAAAAAACATTTTC